TACATGGAGTGCCATTATCATCCTGCCGAAGCTATACCTATTGATCTACACACATTTGCATGTTTTTGAACTGCTAGGTTGGCAGAAGCTGGGGCTAAAAGCAGGAGCTCACCCCGCTCCCCAGATTCAAACCGCCAACCTTTCAGTCAGCAAGTTCAGCAGCTCAGCAGTTCAACCTGCTGCGCCATCGGGGGATCCTTGTAATAGTAATACCACCAATTAATGAAGTTAATGACAAGATAGCCATTAAAACGATGACAATATAGTATGAACTGTTAATGCTATAAAATTATTTTTAAATGTTCAATTGTTTAACGGTTGCAATTAATGTACCAAGGAAAGGAGGAAATAGCTAAGACTATTAAGCAAATGATGTCCCACTTTCCAAGGACCTTATTCTTGCAATGGACTTGAGGCAACACACTGATTTTTTATGTGATGCTTTCACATGTGTATCAGCCACACAGACTTCTGTCAAACATCTACTTGATATATTGGTGGGGGGGGGGGGTTAATTATAAATTGTACAAAAACCTTTTTGAAAAAGGAAGGTTGCCGCACAATGAGGCAATGGAGGTAAGCAAGGAGTTCAAAAGGAACACACTTTCTCTGCCTCCAACCTCCACCTCTCTGCATCGTTGAAAAAGAATTCTGCATCTGGAGCAAATGACTAATAATGACTAGCTTTTTGTGTCAAGACTATTTTAAGGCTAGTGCTCAGTGACATCTGGTGACTTTAATGTCAGTAGATGTGAGGAATGCATTCTAGGTTCTTGTTGAAATTTGAAAGGTGTTTATTTAAAGCACCGAACCCTATCCCTCAATTAGGTCCAGGACCTGAGATAGCTCCTTCAAAGATTACACAGTAACCCAGTCTGCAATGGCACCTGAGGCACTAGATCAGTGTTCCTCAACCTTCCTAATGCCGTGACCCCTTAATACCCTCATGTTGTGATGACCCCCAACCATAACATTGTTTTCATTGCTACTTTATAACTATAATTTTGCTATTGTTATGAATCGTAATGTAAATATCTGATATGCAGGATGTATTTTCATTCACTGGCACAAATACCCAAGATGCAAATTTGAACATTGGTGGGGTCAGGGGGATTGATTTTGTCATTGGGGAGTTGTAGTTGCTGGGATTTATAGTTCACCTACAATCAAAGAGCATTCTGAACTCCACCAACGATGGAATTGAACCAAACTTGGTACACAGAACTCCCATGACCAACAGAAAATACTGGAAAGGTCTGCTGGGCATTGACCTTGAGTTTTGGAGTTGTAGTTCACCTACATCCAGAGAGCACTGTGGACTCAAACAATGATGGATCTGGACCAAACTTGGCACAGATACTCAACATGCCCAAATGTGAACACTGGTGGAGTTTGGGGAAATAGACATTGACATTTGGGAGTTGTAGTTGCTGGGATTTATAGTTCACCTACAATCAAAGAGCATTCTGAACCCACAAATGATAGAATTGGGCCAAACTTCCCACACAGAATCCTATGACCAACAGAAAATACTGTGTTTGGTGGGCATGATTGTCTTTGGAGTTGTAGTTCATTTACATCCTGAGAGGACTGTGGACTCAAACAATGATGAATCTGGACCAAACTTGGCACAAATGCTCAACATGCCCAAATGTGAACACTGGTGGAGTTTGGGGAAAATAGACCTTGACATTTGGGAGTTGTAGTTGCTGGGATTTATAGTTCACCTACAATCAAAGAGCATTCTGAACCACCAACGATGGAATTGGGCCACACTTCCCACACAGAACCCCAATGACCAACAGAAAATACTGTGTTTTCTAATGGTCTTTGGCGACCCCTCTGACAACCCCCAGGCTGAGAAATGCTGCCCTTGTGCACCATCAAACTACAAATCTCAAGATTTCACAGCATGCAGCCATGGCAGCTGAAGTGGGATCATAGTGCTATAATTATTGGATTTAAAGGGGCCCTCCGGTGGCGCAGTGAGTTAAACCCCTGTGCTGGCAGGACTGAAGACCGACAGGTCGCAGGTTCGAATCCGGGGAGAGGCAGATGAGCTCCCTCTATCAGCTCCAGTTCCTCATACGGGGACATGAGAGAAGCCTCCCACAAGGATGATAAAAACATCAAAAATCATCTGGGCATCCCCTGGGCAATGTCCTTGCAGACGGCCAATTCTCTCACACCAGAAGCAACTTGCAGTTTCTCAAGTTGCTCCTGACATGACAAAAAAAAAGCATCATGAAGAAAACATAAACTTTACCATAGCATTGCCTTTCTCTTACTACTGTATATAGTTCAGAATCCTTGATCCAGACCAGCGGATATACAATATCTTCTTTTCATATTCATAATTACATCTGCAAAATGGAATTTTTGTTCCCAACTAAAAATTTGTATTGAAAGAGGTGGGAAAACACCAGACATTTGCTACTTTTAAAATATTTGATGATAAATAGAAAAAGTATGTATGATGAGAGGATGTCTGCGATGTTGTTTTAAATAATTTTGAGAATGCAATCCATAATATATGTGGTCGGGGGGAAAGCCAATGTGCGAGGATGACTGGTGTAGAAGGCATGGATGACCACTTTTTGGGTGGTGACATAAAGATAATTAATTGGTTCTCTGTTTGGTGTAGACCTTCCTCAAACTTTCCAGAAGTTATCAGTACTGGGGAAATAGCTTAGATGAATTCTAGGTGATATCATGCAAGACTGTCATGCAAAAAGGTGCAACAAACTCCTCTTCTTCCTATACTTCCAGTCTATAGAATCCTTGTAGATTCCTTTCCAAAAAACCAAAAGTGGGTCCATTTTTCACTCAGTCTCCCTACACAGTTGACTTTTGTGTCTGTTAGAGTATATATTTACCACTCTAATTAATCTCTTTCCCTTCCCATCCGCTCAAATCCCAAATTAATCAAGCAAGACGCCTAATTTTAAAACTGTGGTTTAGATTTATAACAAATTAGGCTGTGTTGTTGTAGGTTTTTTCGGGCTATATGTGGACAATTTCAACAGAAAGCATGTGGACAATTTCAACAGAAAGGAAGAAACTATGAAAATGAACAAAATCTGGCTACGAGATTTAAAAAATCTTATTATTACAACAGCAAAATTACAACAGCAAAACAAGAGAGAAAACAATGTATTGTCGAAGGCTTTCATGGCCGGAATCACTGGGTTGTTGTAGGTTTTTTTGGGCTATATGGACATGGTCTAGAGGCATTCTCTCCTGACGTTTTGCCTGCATCTATGGCAAGCATCCTCAGAGGTAGTGAGATCTGAGGGAAAACAATCAGGGACATCTAATCACCTCTCAACAAAAGATTGCCCCAGGCACTGCCAGGCCATCAAATGCTAATCAAGGTGGTCAGTTGAAACATTCACACCTAGCTCCAGCAGACAAGAGTCCTTTGTCCCACCCTGGTCATTCCACAGATATATAAACCCTTTTTCCTAGTTCCAACAGACCTCACTACCTCTGAGGATGCTTGCCATAGATGCAGGCGAAACGTCAGGAGAGAATGCCTCTAGACTATGGCCATATAGCCCGAAAAAAACCTACAACAACCCAGTGATTCCGGCCATGAAAGCCTTCGACAATAAATTAGGCTGTCCTTCTTGGAAAAGTAGTGATTGCAAAAGAGTTAGCTTTCCAGATGGTGTTTGACTGCAACTGCGATCCACTCTAGCCAGTATAGCCAATCAGGAATGATGGGAAGTGGACTCCAACAACATCTGGAGTGTAGGTCTCCATGTACTTTAGATAGATGGTCATCTACTATCACAAGAAAAGACAGGTCGCAGGTTCAAATCCAGGGACAGCATGGATGAGCTCCCTCTATCACCTCCAGCTCCTCATGTGGAGACATGAGAGAAGTCTCCCACAAGGATGTTAAAACATCACAACATCTGGGCATCCCCTCGGCAACGTCCTTCCAGACGGCCAATTCTCTCACACCAGAAGCAACTTGCAGTTTTTCAAGTTGCTCCTGACACCACAAATACAAGAATGAGGATCCTAAAGATACTTCCCTAGGCAGTCGAAGGAATGGTCAGGGCAGAGCAATGCATGCATTTACCAGGCATGGGTAAACTTTGACCCTCCAGGTGTTTTGGACTTCTCACACAATTAAGATCTGCCTTCAGTTCCAGCCATTTCCTGGAATGATTGCTAGATTGGTTATTGCTTTAGTAGGTATCAAATTGGTGTAATTATTGCAAGCACCCAAGAGACGCGGATGTGCGATGTGCGTTCGTACGTTGTTTCCTTCTTGGAAAGTCAAACACACATCTCATAGCAAAGTCATCATCAGCAATAATCATCTATATAAATAAAAATGTAATGTTCGTTTGTGGGATTAACAGAACTCAAAAACCACTGGACAAATTGACACCAAATTTGGACACAAGAAACCTAACAACCCAATGTATGTCCTTCACTCAAAAAAATTGATTTTGTCATTTGGGAGTTGTAGTTGCTGGGATTTATAGTTCACCTACAATCAAAGAGCATTCTGAACCCACCAATGATGGAATTGAACCAAACTTGGCACACAGTTCTCCCATGACCAACAGAAAATACTGGAAGGGTTTGGTGGGCAGTGTCCTTTGGTTTTGGAGTTGTAGTTCACCTACATCCAGAGATCACTGTGGACTCAAACAATGATGGATCTGGACCAAACTCTACATGAATACTCAATATGCCCAAATGTGAACACTGGTGGAGTTAGGGGAAAATAGAATCTTGACATTTGGGAGTTGTAGTTGCTGGGATTTATAGTTCACCTACAATCACAGAGCATTCTGAAACCCACCAACGATAGAATTGGGCCAAACCTCCCACACAGAACCCCCATGTGGGCCACAGCAACGCATGGCAGGGGACAGCTAGTAGTTATAAAATAAGCTCTGGGGGAGAGAGAACCAAGGAGAAAACTGTCGAACTGTCTTAACTCTACACGCATGGGAAGAGGTGTTTCTCAAACTCACCAGCCCCCAAATCCAGCAGCAGCAGGTCGAGAAGAAGAGGAGCCAAAAGCTCGGCATCTCCCTCCCGCGCGCGACGGGGGTGCAGGGTCCCGAAGGCGTCCTAAACCGCGACGATCCCGCGGCAGGGACATACGGGCGCCGTGCGGACGCTCCCCGGCTCCCACGCGGGACGCGCTCCTCGCCGCTCCTCTCTGGGGAAGTTCAGTCCGGACTGCAGGGACCCGGAGCACAGCTTTCCCTTGGCTCGCTAAGGCGCGCGCGTGTCAGCACAACCGGCTTCCACTCCCACTCCTCCTCCTCCGGCTTTACTACTACTTCTTTGCTGCTGCTCCTCCTCCTCTTTCTCCTCTTCTTTTCCTTCTCTGCCCACAATCGCTGCTTCGCCCACCAATCACCGTGAGAGGCAGGCTTCTGCGGGGTGATGTGATGAGTGGGGTTTGGGGGGAAGGAAGAGCCACAGTCTGACACTCACACCACTACACCTGCCTGGCTGTCTCTTGCCGTTAATAGGACAACCATGTGCCCGACTTTACACTCTTTGTGTGCAAGATTCTTCAAGTTGCCCGTGAACTTCTCGCTTCCCCTTGAATGCCATGCGGTTTTCTTACTACTTCATCACACTAGACCAAGCAGATTTTATTT